CAAGTAATCAGACGATTAATTTCGACACACACATACAATACGAAGGCTTTTGTGCCCATGAAGTATCGGTTATATGCGCTTAAATAGGTTATTTTTATTTTTACTTAATCCAGTAGGTACTTTGAAAAGATAACTTTAATAATATAAAAAATGTTTTGTGTACCTATTCAGAAAAGATACACAATAAGAATTTAAAATGTAAAAAAATGAGAAATTAATAAGTACTAGGTATTTTGATTGAATATTGTTTGTCACGAGTATGTCAATATTAGAAATAACTATTTATTTGCACAGTATTAAACATGAGACCTTTTGTAAGATTATCACTGTTATTTTACAAACAAGAATATTTCAAACTATACAAGTCTGATGAGCTTTCTGTCTGATGCTATTACTAAAATTAAACCATAAGTATCTATTTTAAGTTAAAATGTATTTGTACCGAAAATTTTGAGAAAGTTTGAAGGTCAGTTTTATTATGATACTCGTATTTGAAATGTGAAATGAGGATCGATTGATGATACTTCTTTGCCATCATCATAATCAATATTCGCAATAGATTTAATTTCAAAGAGCACTCTTAGGTAATACCTTTTAGATCCCAAAAATGTTTTGTCATAGAAAAGTTAATACCTAGCTGCAAACCCCCCGTTATCGTATGCACACCGAGCCTTGACTGTGAGTGCATTTGCCTACATGTTGCCAAATCCTCGGGCGACGCACCGAGCAAACTAGTTTCTTAGCTTCTCGTGGAATCCGCGGCCAGACCGGTTCCTGGCCGGTCAGCAAGAGACCGAAATAGCCTGGAAAGTGTCGATTTTTCAACCTGGAGCACTCAGTGATCGAAAATCATCTCATGTCATAATACAACCCGACATCTCATCTTTGACTTGTAATGTGCAAAGTGTTAAAATCTCTTTGGGAGACTAATGCCCGTTTTCACCATCAATCCTTAATTTTTAAGTGACCCCTATGAAAACAAATTTCATATTATTTGTTACCATAGGGGTCACTTAAAAATTAGGGATTGATGGTGAAAACGGGCATAACACGCGTTATAATAAAAACATACAAAAAATTACGAGTAATAGGGGAGAGTTCGGTATATTGTACCGCCGGGTAAATTGTACCACCCTCATATTTCGTAAAGTATTTATTGAATGTCTGTAATAGCAACACTCACCGATACACAACTAAAACAAATTAATATCGGCCATGTGGTTTTTGCCGTGACAACAAACACGTGTGTTTTATTTTGAAAAGTATTTTTTCATTGTTTTCAAGTAACTTTTGACAATACATGTTTAGTTTGTAATTTTGTTAAATTTAATCACAGGGTGTTTCTAATTTATTATTTAGAAGCGTAAATTAGTGTGGATTACAATTATTTGAAACATTTTTCGGTATTTATAAGCTATATTTTTTACCGATTTTTTAAAAGCACTATCACCTAGTCGGCTAAATTGTACCACATCAAGTTGTATGGAACTTTACCAAAGGATTTTGAAATTTTTTTTAGTAAATCATATTTTGAAGTTATAATAGCGTAGTTATGTTTGACTAACAATAAATGAAAGCAAAAGACTGGCAAAGTAGATTAGGTATAGGTGTGCGTTACGATAATTGGAATTACAAAACTGGTACTCAAAATCGTGATAACGTGTAAAACAATATCGATTTTCTATGTTATTAACTACTGTTCCTTTTCGTTTCCTAATTTGTTAAGAATGTATCGTATAATATTTTGCCATAGTTTTTTTATAGGCTTGAAATTTATTGAAACCCAATTTAGTAACCCTGTGGTACAAATTATCGAACCGGTTGGCTAAATTGGACCGAAGCTCTGAACTCGTACTTTGTTGATTTGTGCTAAATATACAACAATCATGTTAATTAATACTTATGAAATAGTAAGTTGAACAATGTATCCTTTATTATATACCATGGACATCAGCAAAAACAAAAGAAAACTATGTGTAAAATGGGATTGAAAAAAACTGGTCCAAATTAGCGGACTCTCCCTTACCTGCCCAAATACATGAATAATATTAACACCTACACCTTTAACTTCTTAGTTCAAAACTAGAATAGAATGAATAAATGAAAATGTCTGTATATTGTCCCCGAATAGTGATACGAGTAAGTGTCCAAAATGTCACATTCTGTGTAATATAAAATCTTTTCAGCATTGCTTTAAGGCAATACAAACTCATTAGCCTTTTGATTCATGTGTCGTTTAAAACAAGCGATGCGTCTTAATTTTTACTTTTGGCGGCGTCCGACTCGAAAAGAAAGTCAAACGTTTACGGAACCCAATATAAACGTTTCGTTAGCAACCACCCGTCGTCTGCTTGATGTTGTAGTACATGCTCGGAGCTAATGATTTAGATAAGTATGCCGCTAGTCCAAGCAAATAAACTATTTAGTACAGCATTTGTGAGGTGTCTATTTTTTTTATTTATTCGATAGTGCAACGCAGGTACCGTTATCCAGTTGAGGCAGGCTTTCGTATCCAGGCCAAGGTCATTTTTCACATCCAAACGAGATGTTATCTTCACGTAACATGTTAAAAGTAAATATAAAGTCGCGTTTGTTTTGACAAAAAATAACTTTCTAATACGACCTGTAAAAGACTTAAACGAGTGCTCCTTGCGCTTAACTTTCTGAAACTTTAATGTTTCTTTAATATTAAACTATTATTACTGTGGGCAACCACTATTAATTTATATTCGCTAATACTCGTATGATTTATATGTGTCAAATATTTATGATTTTGAACTGTTCGATGATCAAGGGCTCAAATTATTATGAATAATGTAGGTACTGTTTATATGTATTTATTTTCTATAACCCTAGTTAAAGCCTGAGCCTGCCGGCATCATATTTTAAATATTTAGAGTAAACATTGCTGGTTGTACTACAACTTAAGCTGCACACAAAATATAGCATCACGAACGTGGTTTAGCTCCTCAGTTGTTATGCAATACCCTCTAAGTTTCTTCATACCAAGCTTCGACTTCAACTGGATCGTACTAGTTATATCCAGTTAATATTAAATTCCTACGACTCGTTCGAATCCGTGGACAAAGCTTATTTTGGGCATAATTTAACATTAAAGCAAATTAATGTGTCTCTTGATGTTGGGTAATTTAAATAAATCAACTAAAACGCATTAAGGAATTACGTGTTTCTCATCAATTATTACAATAGCGTCAGTGTGGCAGTGGTCTAAAATGTAATGCGGGTATGGCCTGTCATTAGCTAGTTTGCCCACATTGGTCGTCGCTAGTTATCTAATTAGATTTACGCTAAAAATAGTGGATTTTAGTGCTAAAGATAGATACGGCGGTACCAATATTCCTCTTGAATTATTTCGCAATCACCCGCAGGTAGATGTGTCCTCAGGCGCTCATTACGAAATCGTGCTGGTAACAACACGAAGGAACAAAGTTTATTCTATTACTAACTTATCCCCGTGGCTTCACCCGTGTGATTTCGATAAATTGTGGACTGGTTTAAACTATAAACATTGAATATTTTCATCAAAACCCGTCTCTAGTTATTGCTATTGAAAGAATAACAAACCTCACAAACTTTTGCGTGTATATTAATAAATATGTATTGGGGTTGATATTTGTTAAGTTGCGTTTAGTAAATAACTATTAGGTTAACAGTTTAGGTTTCCAAGGTAATTCTGTAATTCTTCTAAAGATTATTATTGTAATGAAGACATTCAGTATTCTTGAAAGTTTTGCCGGAATGCAAATGGGGTAGGTATGTACCCCATTGTAAGGAGATAAAATTACTGTCTTATCTCCTTACGATACTGGTGCTTAAAGCTCTCTTCTGATATCGCATAGGAAATACCAAACCATTACTTTTTGATATCTTATCAAACCATCGGAACCATTTAAAACAAAGAACAAGATAGTTGAAAGAATTTTCGTTTTTTGAATAAATAATTACTTTGTTACTTAAAACACAATTAACAAAATAGCAAAAGTACCTTTTACAAGTTTTAGAACGAGAAATTAATTAAATTAGTTGATGTTGTGTATAATTATGAAATTTACTTTAATGTGTTGTCCTCTAAATCTGGTATTGTTACTTATTACTACTTATTGCATTAAAAAGTTAAAGTTTTTTTTAAAGATAACCTTATAATTATTCTTCACAATAGACCTCATAAGTTAAATGGGGAAAATAGTTTTTTAAATATTTATGAAATTATTTTTTTTTATTTTTTTTAACATTAGGTCTACTTTCACCCTATTCCGTGTAATTTATCAAGAAAAGCAAAAAATCAAAGAGTAATAGTAAATAAAATACAACTCAAATCTGCTCTTAGGTTGTAAATATTCTTAAATTGATTTGTTTTTCAGAAAGATAATTCATAATCACATTGCATTTGGTGGAAAACTTGTATTATTTGACATGACAAATTGTATCTGACAATTTGTATCTAAAATCTCTGTGTAAACAACAATCTGTTGATATTATTATTTCTCAGACTCTTTAGCAGGCGTCGTAGATGTTATTAAAATAGGTTTTTGTGTTTCGCAGCAGTCGCGGGTGAATAATGCGCGAACAAAAGAACCAAACATACGCGTCGAATCGAGCGCCACTTTTCACTGTGACATCAATATGGCAAATTCAAATGTGCAAAACACAATTCCAAGTAAAGCCGAGACAAACTCGACACTGTCGTGACTACGTTTATTATCTAAGCACAGTCTGAATATTTACAAATACCGTCGAAGCTGTTAACCTTAACAGTACAGCCGAGCGAAGTTGTAGGTAATTGGTAACCCAACTCGTTAGGAACGGCCGAGTATCCGCCGAACGCCAACGCATATCTACGAAAAGTGTCCGCAAGCCGCGGCGCGGGCGCACCACCAGCCGCTCAACGAGGACCTTTTGGAAAGTCACCCGAAACCGACTTCCAAACTGAAACTCGCAAATGCAGTCATTCGCCGTGCTGCGACAAAAGTTGCACTAACCTGTTGGAATATGCAGAGGTCCTGACGGCTGGTGATTCCTTGTCGGTGTCTCGTGTTAAGAGAGTAGTCCGGTTTTGCATTCACGTACCGAAGCACGATCACACTGCGTGAGAGAAAGGGCGCGCAACTCGCAAGTGGCGCACAACACAAGTGGATATTCGCGTGGTGTGCGTCGGCGGTTCGGAGCGAGAGTGGGCGTCACGAAAGCGTGTTGGCGGTCGCGGGTCTCAGCTTGGACTGAAGGCCGCGAGGCGCGGGGGCCACTTTATGCCCGCGCGCGTCGCGGGCGCACCCCGCGGCAATCCGCCGCCGCAACCTGAACACCCTCATCCTGAAACATCACCTTATCAAAAACCACAATTAACATTTCATTTACCTGTAACAGAAGTAACAGAACATCCACATAATCCCTATTCTGATGAAAAACAAATGGTTTCAGTTTCAGTCTGAAAATCGAGTATGTTTACAAACGCTGACAACACTCCTCCCATCGTAAAAGTTTCAGTAAGAATTTAGAAGAAACTACATTTATTAGAATGATTTAAACTAACACAAAAAAGTACAAAAGTTGGTTTATCCTAATCAAGTAGACTTGGAATGCCTATTAATCTAAAACCAGTATAAGCAGCCTTTTATCTTTGAGCCATTGAGCCTTATTTCAAAACCACATTTAATTTTATTAAAGCTAGACTCCATGATAAAAATTCGTTACTAAATACATTTTTGTGGGGGAAGTGTTTTCAGTGTAAAATGACGTTTGTCGGCACACACAGGTGTGGGTGTACAAACATCAGTCTTTACGTTTCAAAGTAATTGTTAAGTTTTTCAGTCGGAATAGGTAGGTAAGTATAGGTACAAGAAGTTCATTCATAAATTTTAGAAGCAGGTATGGTTAAATTTTAGCCGTATAAGAAAATAAGGAAGTTTTCGCGTGACAGCAATGTAAGAATTGTCTGCCACTGATCATTCAGAAGCTAGTATCGCAAATAATTTAAAATACAAACACAAGTTACATAATTTAGGTTATACTAACCATGTCCACAGTAACCTACTTAGGTATATTGATATTATAAAAAGTTTCGGTACTTAACTACGTCGAAATGCGTGTAAGCAAACTACTAAACACATTTCTCTCGAACTGCCATCGCGTCGCGCCATTTCCGATTGTTCGTAAAATAAAATTCAACAAAACTAAATGAATTAATAAAACATACCTTTTTGTTGCAATTTCTTACAAAACTTGCGCGCAAAAATACATTAACTTTAAAAAAAACCGACTTCAAATGCGCGATCACAAAAAAAAACGAAAAATTAAAAAATATTGCGTATAAAAAAGTTCATCCCCAATTTTCCACCCTTGGGGATGAAATATTTTCTTCAAATTCGCATAAAACCACCCTTTTGATAATACCTATTCAACAAAAAAATAATCGTTCAAATTGATTTATAATCGGCGGAGATATTGCGTATAAAAAAGTTCATCCCCAATTTTGCACCCTTGGGGGTTGTTTTTTCTATTATTAAATTTAAATGGGACCACCCTTGAGGTATTACCTATACGCCGAAAAAAGATATGTTCAAATCGGTTCATAATTGGCGGAGTTATCGCGTAACAAACATAGAAAAAAAAAAACATACGGGTCGATTTGAGAACCTCCTCCTTTTTTTTGAAGTCGGTTGAAAAGGTGATTTAAAAAAAAAATGCGCAGTCGGGGCCCAGTGTTCCTGACGCGCTCTCGGCCGTCATGGCTTATTTGCCATTTTGGTGTTTTTGTACTTTGGTTTTATTATAGTGGTTATCTATTTTGTACCTACTTGCATCGAATACATACTTTTTCTTTTCTTTTATCGAAACGTTACACATTACTATTACCTCACAGCTTCAGTGTTTCAGAGCCTCAGTATCCATCCAACTACCAACCAACACAAAGGGTAATTGGAAAGTCCTCTAAGAAGAGATGTTAGTACCTAACTTTAAAGTTCACTTCAGTGATTCCACTATTTAGCATGAAAACGTCGCCGATTTTGCATAACAAAGCAGTGGCTCTTACTTTCCTGGATAGTAAAATCCTCGACCTACCTTCTGAATAACGAAAGCAGTTGTTAAAACGTCACCTACTTATGTAGGTACATGTTTGACGTGTAACTATGTAGTATTTACTTAAAATTAACTTTTATAAAAAATGTGTTCCATTTTTTATACAAGTTATTGTCCTGTTGTAAAACCTTACACTTCAACGTTTAAATAGAAAAAAAAACCGGCTGTTAAAACAAAATGTTATTTTCCTGGGTCCCAATCTCTTTAAATCTCTAAACTGAGTTTATAAAAGAAAACGTCACAAACTATCACATTTATAATATTAGTAGGATATATTTTTTACTCTTTGAATTTATTTCTCGTTACTTAGGTATATTTAGTACTGGTACTTAAAAGAATATTTATTCTCATTGAATTTACTTCTTGTAACGTATAGTTCTTACTGATACGTAAATCTACTTTTCTTCTAAAGGAAACATCATTACATCATTCCCTCAGCGCTCAAGATCCGTGCCAGGGACTATACGTGTGGTTACCTAATGGGTCGAAATAATTGATGCGGAATTTAACACGTTCATCCGTGAGTCCAAGTATAACTTACATGTGGTTGTTACGCGAGCCAGAACTAAAGTTTAAAGTTTCATGACAGATTTAGTTTACAACAACGCTTCAACCACAGGTTGCGCGGAGAAAACTTTAATTTCACCGACTGAACTTTTAACATAACTTTTGTGGAGTCGAATGGTTAGGTATTCACTTTTCTAATGATTCAATTCACATAGTTGTCACTGACATTTAAGAAATTGATATTTGGGTAATTGGTTTCTTTCCAGTGCTTCAAAAAGACACAAGCCAACAAATAAATCTTTAATTAACTTGCGATAAATCTATTTCTTAAAACAAAACAACAAATCCAAGTTTTGATTGAATCTTAATCAATTACCTGTTTCTCTTAAAAGTTTGTTTGATAAGGCTAAATAATTTGACTAAAGACATTTAGGAGATCATTCTGTTTTTCCACCCACAATCACAAAGATTCACGCAATCACAATCGTTTGATTGAACAGATTGCAAAATTTTAAGATTAGGAAAAGGTGTAAGCTGATCCCTTAAAGAAAGCTCGGTGTTTGCAAGGAAACTGCATTCTCAGGTGGGCCACACCAAATAAAATAAGCAGACTACCTATGTATATTTTTCAGTTTCATGAGCACATTGCGGTGCTTAATTAAGCTGATTTTCTGTTAACTAATGATTTGATACTTCGAAGGTGCGTTATACAATCGATCACGAAAATCAAACAGCAGCTCATGTACCTATTCTTGCAGTTTGTCCAAAACTCACACGAGACTATGTAAAAGCTGGTCATTTTTGTTTCCTACTAATAAAGTCAAAAACAAATAAAGTCAAACGCAAAAAAACTCCACAAATCAAATCTGATATTAATCGAGATTTCCCTTTTTCAAGTACGAAACAATCCAGTTTATTTGATAGACAGATTCCTGGCTGAAAATGTCATCATTCAAACCTCGCTCGGAGCGAAATTACAAAAGTCGTTTGCGGTCAAAATAGAGTGCTATTCCTGAAAAAAATCATGCCGGTCTGTTTAAATCTCTATCCATCACAACTGTTCATTCAACAATTCACGCTGTTGTAAGGTCGAGAGAGAAATAAAGAAGCGACGAAAACGATAGTCAAGATTGAGTTATAGAATAGACCCGTTGCCTCAAGGTAGGTATGTAAACACAAAACAAAAGAGCTATTTGTGTACCGACTTGCGTGATTTAGTTCGCAACCTGATATTTTTGTGGTCATTATATGTATAAGTCTTCATTGTTTAGTCTTTTCAAAGCTAGCTCATCTTAATTACAAAACAACTATGACGTGATGATAATTCTCAAAATAATATTGATACTTTAATGTTTGTATAATTATTATTATTCTTTGAATCTGTTGTGTAATGATTCATAAATTATGATTTATTATGAATCATAATAAATCACATACCTTTATCTGCCTGTTTTTCATTTACTACATTTTATGCAATAGCGTACATAGACCCTAGAGTAATAAGAAAAGATAATAAGACTGATATTGGATGTGTAACATATGATGAGTTCAGATTTCAAACAGATTTCGTCCTTCTAAAAATGGCCGCACCAGTTTCTCTCACGGAAAAAGTTCGTAAAATTAATGGATGGAAAAGGGCAGGTTCAAAGTTGCCAGGGAAATTAGATCAACCATTGTGTTGGCGACCTACGTTAGCAATTGCGACAGGTTATAACCCTGAACGAGGATGAGAATCAACAAATTATACGGGCAGGCACAAGATACTGGACGCTGAAAAGGGTTTACCATAAAAAAAACTAAAATATCTTTTGTGAGCTAGGATTGCATGTTTTGAATATGCCAGCACAAAATAATAAATTTATTACATGAAATTACATGATGATATTCTTAAATTATGAATTGCAATTGCGAATTTCGAATGAATATAATATTGAATGACTTTTATTGAACTGTAAAAACGCGATGCTCATATACTTACCTAGATTTTGTATGGCAAATTATGTGAGGAAATCACGTTACGACGTTAATTTTTCCCTTGCTATCTTAGTTGAACTAGGTATATTTTCTTTGCCTTTCCCTGTCCTATAAAACTCTACACAGAAAGCCCGTTGGCAGCCCGGTGGCTTGTTGTCGGCAGTTTTATTCCAAAAGAATCATGTCGACAGGTTTCATGTATGTATGTATACTGTAGTAACCTTATTATTAAAATATTTATGTTTTGATAATATAATATAGTATTGTATTATGTCATATGAACACATGCGACATATCATGTACGAAATCACGTAATAGAAATAACGCAAGGTCGTTATTGTAATTACAATATTTTTTACGACAATTTTCATGTCAAAGTATTAAAATAAAGCAGGTAAATGTTTCTGATGAGAAATTACAAGACTATTTGCATAATCGTGCTGTCATAGTTTTCACAATTTTATTCAGTCTGATGTAGTGACAATATTTTGACTGTCAGTACTTATTCCGTATTTTTTTCTTCCACGCTTTGATGTTTTTTGAGGATCGGTACAAAGAAAAAAAAAGTAGTTTTTATTTATTTATGACCGTAACAGCAGTTTGTCTCACGTATTATGTAGACAGACATTATCTTTCGTCCAAATTTTGAA